GGCAAGGCTGAGAGGCCGACACTCGGTGGGAGCATTAGAGGACTGTCAAGAACAACCACTGTCTCTTCCCTGTTCCATTTTATGCACAGGAAAACTGAGGCCCAGAGAAAAGCTTGAGTGACTTACACATGGTCTAGAATGAGTCAAAGCAAAGGCATGACCGGTGTTCCAGGTTTCCAGACCCTTCTCAGTGCAGGGCTCATTTCAGGCCTGGCCGCCATGTTGGAGTGGGGAACCTGTGGCCCTCCAGATCCCCAAGTTCGGCCCCTTGACCGAATCCAAACTTCGCAGAACAAATCCCTTTATCAAAAGGATTTCTTCGGTAAAATCCGGATTCAGTCAAAAGACTTCGCTCAAAGATCCAGAAGGCCACCACGTGTGGCCCCGAGGCCAAAGATTCCCCCACTCCTCTTAAATTTCCAAGGTCAGTGGCTACTTTCAAGATCACCTTTACATCTTTTAATCTGCAGCCCTCCGGACTGAGGGATTCTCTGCCCCATCAGAACCTCCTCTCTGTCCGTCAACACAGCTCTGGCATTTCCCCACACAGGTTTCTAGGGGCCATTGAAGAGGATAAAAGTTTTCCTGTGGGTCAAGCTTCAATGCCAGGGGAAAATCTCACAGAGGAGTTTGGACAAAATCGAAGGGTGGGGGGTGGGTGGGGAGGGGCGAGTCAGGGAGCTAGTTTGAAATTAAGTTATGCTCATAAAGAATTGAGGCAAGATGAGTGTGTTCGGGACACGGACGGAATCCCTCTGTGTTGCGCCTTGGGCAGTGACTGATACACTATTCTAATACGGAACAGCAAGTCTTTAAGCCCTGAGCTCCTAGAAAGCTGATAGCTGAGGCGTCAAATCTGCAAGCACCGTGGATGTCAGAGCTCGGAGAGGCCTCAGGGGTCACGTGGCCTGACCCCATCATTTTACGTGGACGGAACTTAAGAAAACGAGGGACTTTCTGAGACAAAAACTCAGGTTTTCCTGTCCTCCCACCCTGTGCTTTTTACCTGCATAAAACACACCCCTGGGATCCGGGAACAGGAGACTGAGATGTGGGAGAAGAGGGCAAAATGCCTTTAGCTGAAAAGCTTGCGTTAAGAGATGGACATTCGTGGCCACTTGGCAGCCCACGAGCTTCTCTTTTTAATTTTGAATTCTACCATTTATTCCCCTATCGGGTTGAATATCACTCAGCCTCTCCCCCTCCCCCCATTCCCTCCCACTCCGCCCGGGGCCAGATGGTCGCTCGCCAGAGGTGTGAAAGGGGACCCATTCGTCAGCACAGACAGCTCTGGAGCAAGGTGATGCTTTCCACCACTCAGCCTCTGGGATTCTGAGACTCCACGTGGACGAGGAGATAAGAAAAGGGGAGGGGGGCGATTGTCACCTTTGACACTTTGGCAGGAACACTTCTTCTGGAACCAAATGGATATATGGGATGCAAATGAAGGACCTGTCTGAAATGTGTTCATCTTTCAAGAAAGAAAAATGGCACTCGAGGTGCTGGGTTTGCAGTGAAGGGGGTGAGCAGCAGCTCCGGGCGAGCGCCGAGGTGCAGGAGGGATGCCCGCGAGCTCGTCTCCACCCTGGCAGGTGATTACCTCCCGTGGCCCCGCCACGCAGGATGCGCACGATCAGCTGAAGGCTCCGGCGCTGCAGGATGCTCACACCTGTCTTTCAGCAGAAAAGACAGAGGCCGGGTCCCCCCGACAAGCAGCAACAACTTCAGGATGCTCTGAGATCCCAAGAACCTGGCTTTCCCTGACCTGCAAGAGAACCTGCAACTTGCCTCTAGATTGTTCTTATGTATCATGCACACCAAAAACTTTAGGCTCGCCCGTTCCCTGCCCCCAACTACCACCTCCTCCAAGTTCCGCTCCCTCATCCCAGATAAAGTCAGCGTCTGCAAAGGTAAGAATGAGCGGGGAGGTCCCACTCCACACCGAGCTGGACTCAAAGGTTATCTAGGAGACGTTAGGGGGGAAAGTACATACTCGGCCCCAATTTCCAGGCCCTTGATAGTTTAAAGGATTCTCGAGTTCAAAGGAAATTCAGGAAGTCCTCTAGCCAACTCTTTTGCTCTCCAGACAACGCCATCCCCAAGATTTTAGCTCTTTGTCTCTGCCTAGCAAAGATGCAGATCTGGGGTCGTGGCTCATGACTCTGCAGAGCGTGTGCACACACGTGCAATCACACACACATGCACACACACATATGTTCTATTTTCCCCAGTTCCCAGTGGCTGTGTTAGTTTTTGTTTCTTAATGAAGTGTTTTCTTTCTAATGAGACAGCTTAGTTTCCCCTTAATAAGGAGGATCGTACTGGAGAAGAATCCCAGATCCGTGATGGCCAGTCATGCCCACTACCTACAGCACCCTGGAAGGACATGGTCCCAGCTGGTTCTTCATAGCCAGGTTTTTACGCAGTATCACGCAACCCTGCCGGCTGGGAACAACCTCACTGGTCAGGTGCCTGACCCGACGACTCCATCCATGGCTGCCCGGTGGCTGAGGACATGTGACTGAATGGGAACTGGCCAAACCAATCCAGAGCACTGGTCAGCTACGGCAGGTACCCTAGACACAGAGACGGGGTCACCGAGTCACCCAGGAGGGCGGCCAGTTGTTCTGGTTTGCCTAAAACTGTTCTGGGTTTAGCACTGAAAGTCCTTCATCCTGAGAACCCCTTTAGTCCCAGGCAAGTGGGACAACTCATCACCATCAGCTCATCACAACAGCGAATTCTAGAGTCGGGCCAGTGGATCCATTTGCTGAGCAAAGCATCAAGACGATCGATCGTGAGGTTATTGCTCTTGCTCTCCCCGGAAGCCACTTATCCCTACTAGGTATGCTGGATGCCTCTGGGCTTCGCGAAAGGCCTAGATGGGCAGCCACCAGGACCGTTTCCTGTCTTCCCTACCTCCACTGCCGCTGTGGAATAAACCAGCATTGCTGAAGGCAACACAAGTGGGTCTCTGTCCCTTGACTCCTGAAGGAATCCGAGGAACACAGTGGCTGCAACCGAGTGCCAGGGAAGACAGGAAGGTGAAAGTCTGGAAATGATCTTTAAATTTCAGTAGCACTAAACGTCTTCAAGAGGTTCTCCTCAACCATTCTGGGTGGAACTGAGATGTCCAAAAAGATCCCATCTTACAAGACACTGAAGCCACTAAATGGCCATACAAGCACACTGTCTTGTACCCAGGGAAGCTTTAATTCTTTTTGCAAAAGCAAGCTGTCCGTTTGTTTCGGAAATAAGAAAGTATCAATACAAACATCTTTGGCTTTGCATTTTGGCCAAGGTTGACCCAAGATGGACACTTAGGAAGTGTTTTTATTTTTTATTTTATTTCAACAATATTTTATTTTTATTTATTTATTTTAGCACATTATGGGCGTACAAGCGTTAAGGTTACATATATTGCCCATGCCCCCCTCCCCCCTCAGTAACAGCTTCAAGTGTATCCATCCCCCAAAACGTTGCACATCTTACTCGTTGTGGTTGTATATACCCATCCCCTCCTCCCCCCTCCCACCCTCCCAACATCCGATAAATTTTACTCCTGTATGTCCACTTAGGTGTTGATCCGTTAATACCAATTTGCTGGTGAGTACATGTGGTGCTTGTTTTTCCATTCTTGAGATACTTCACTTAGTAGAATGGGTTCCAGCTCTATCCAGGAATATACAAGAGGTGCTAGATCACCATTGTTTCTTAAAGCTGAGTAGTACTCCATGGTATACATATACCACATTTTATTAATCCACTCATGAATTGATGGGCACTTGGGTTGTTTCCACAGCTTTGCCATTGTGAATTGTGCTGCTATAAACATTCGAGTGCAGGTGTCTTTTTCATAAAGTGACTTTTGATCTTTTGGGTAGATGCCCAGTAGTGGAATTGCTGGATCAAATGGTAGATCTACTCGTATCACTTTGAGGTATCTCCATATTGCTTTCCACAGAGGTTGCACTAGTTTGCAGTCCCACCAGCAGTGTAGGAGTGTTAGGAAGTGTTTTTAGCCACATAGTGGCCACAGGGTAAAAGGGACAGAAGAGTCATGCTGTTGGGGCAGGGGTCCTCAAACTTTTTAAACAGGGGGCCAGTTCACCGTCCCTCAGATCGTTGGAGCGTGCGCACTGTGGGCCCGGGACGAGTCGGCTGCTAAGCAGGATAAGCAGCGGTGGCAAAAACACCTGGCGGGCCGGATAAATGTCCTAGGCGGGCGGCATGTGGCCCGTGGGCCGTAGTTTGAGGATGCCTGCACTAGGGGAAGGGCATCCTCAGTAAATGCCACCAGCCCTGGCAGCTGGCTCGCCTGTCACAAAGCACCATGATCTGGCTCAGGTGCCCCAACCGCCACCTGAGAGAAGGGGGTCTTCACAGCTGGCTGTGCATCTGTGTCATGGGAGACAGCTGGAGTGAACAACAGCATTCACTCTGTACACCTGCGTGTGACCCAAACAAAGCAGGTTGAACTTGGAGAACCCCAGCCTTCACCGGCAGCCCCCTGCGGAAGCCGCTCCGATGGCCCCACGGTCTGAGAGCCTGACGGACTTTTGCACTGGTCCGTGCACCGCTCTGGACCCTGGGGGCTGGATGCCAACTAAATGCGAAGGGATACCATCCCCCGAGGCCGCCTGCACCACGCAGCAGACTCAGGCCTCTTCAGAAGGAGCAGGAACAAAAATTAAGATCCCATCTGACCTAAGTGTGGTTAACTATTCACTCTGCATCCGGCTGGAGGACGGTGGAGCAAACAAGAACGCTGGGTCCAAAGGTGGGGTGGACGTGGGCGCTGGAGGGCAAGAAGGGGTGTGGCAGGAAGCCCTTTGGGTGCCGAGACGGGGTGGGGGGAAGGTCTCGTGAGCAGACAGCAGGGAGGGAGGGAGGAGTTGTTTTTTCGTTGGGATGGGAAGAAGGAAGGGAGGGAGGGAGGGAGGGAGGGAGGGAGGGAGGGAAAGATCTAGGAGGGTGAGTTTTCTCCAGCTCCGGGTCACCTTCAGTGATGCCTCTCCCCAAGGGTCATTGCTTTCTACCCAGATCCATAAGTTTCCTTATTCTCCAAAATAAGAATTCTTGATCAAATCCAGAGCTCCTGCCTCTCCAGAGGGGGTCCAGCCTTAGCCAGGTCCTTCGAGGGGGTCCCGGTGGCACATGTGGTTCCACTAAGCTTCCAGCGGGGGGATGTGGACGAGGACGGAGGAGCAGCCCTCGGTCGGCCCTTCCCAGCCTGTGGACCAAAACACAGCACAAGAGTGAGCATGGATCCCGCGGCCTCTGCTCTTCCTGCAGACGTCTTCAGGGGCCCGCAGCAGGGCCTCACTGTCTCTGGTCCATGGTGGTCTTGCTACTGCACAGAAGACATACTTCAAAAAGCAGTATTTTAGTTAAGGGGGAAAAAAAGAGCCCGTTTATTACCCTTTAAGGAACTCCCCGTACACTGAATCGTCACCAGGAACCCTCCCACATGAATCCCACCGCTATACCCAGAGCTGAGTTTTTCAAACACCAGTGAATACAGCCACCAGCCCAGAGGAAATGGAACATTCCGTTTTTCAGCAGGTCACTATTATTTCTTCCAGACACAGGCAGGGACAATAGAGGTGTCAGATCACCCACTTTACAGATAGGAACACTGAGGCACCCCCAAGGGACTTCCCTTATTTTAAAATTGATTAGGCTCAGCAATGCAAGGTAGGGGCCTTTCACAGGTAGAGACGACCTGGGCCGTGTGAAGGGGCTGCTCTCTGGGTCTCTGAGTCTCGCAATTGCTGTCAACCCACAGGCGTAACCCGGACAGGTACAGACCCACGCATCCGGATTAGATGCCGTGGATGCGGAAATCAACCAGACGGGCAACCCCAGCCCCACGGGCCATGGCAGACAGGCAACACGGATGCAGGGCTCCCTTGGGCCAGCGTGATGCCACAGGGCGGCAAGATCTTGAAGGAAAGACACCTCGGACTCTGGAGGGATTCCGGAAGCCAACAGGCCCCCTTCTGTCCCTGCGGGGACCTGCGAGGGTCCCAGCTCCGCCCGGCGCCAAGGAGCTTGCCTTTTTGAGAGCTTTGCCTGCGCCCCTGGCAGGGATGTGTGCAGCGGCCGTGAAATCCAAAGAGAAGGGCGCTAATTGCCAGAGGCGAGACAATGTCACCGTGAGGGCCCAGAAGATGGTTCAGGACATCGAGAGTCAGCATTTTAGAATTACCTACAAAAATTTAAAAATGAAAAACCAAAAAAGGCAGCCGACGTGCAGACAGAGAGGTGCCTGGGTGCTCTAGGCAGCTTTCTGATTGGTGGCCAAGAAGGAAACCAGGAGTTTTCACCCCAAGTATAGCCCAGACCCTCTGGACACTCCATTTTGTTTAGACCTGAAAACACCCCCAAACAAACCCAAAGTTTTCTGCTAAACTTTCTCTGGTTTCCTTTTCCCTGCCTGGGCAGCGGCTGCCGGAGCTGTCTCGCAGAGAGCCCCCGAGAAGCCCTTTCCCCTGGGTGATGCACGCAGCTAGCAAATTAATTGGCAGCGGCCGGGTGAATCACACTGGGACTTCCTTCTTGTTGCCGGGCAACTGCATGCACTTGGCAGTGGGATGTTAAACACAGAAGGGGAATGTTGTGAGGCATTTGCAAAATAAAATAAGAAGCAAAACATACAGCACCCCAGACTCTCATCCCAGCACGGCAGACCCAGCCAGGGGGGACGTGGGGTGATGAGGGGACCCAGGTAGGGCAGGAACACAAGCAGATCCTAACCCTCCCTCCCTCCCCCAGCTGGCTCTTCTAGGTCTAGCACTTGTGTTTGGCTAAAGACACGCCTCCCTCAGCCTGGAGGAAGGCAACAGGAGGCACAGGGATTAGAAGGCGCCTAGAGACATGAAAGATTACCGAGAGTCACAGCGAAGGTTTATGCAGCTTGCTGTGGAACCAGCCTATCTGCTGTCTGCGCATCGTGCATCACTCCACAGGTTAAGTCACCTGGCAGAGATGGCACAGCCACCTCTAGGGCAGGACCCTTCCCCGCCTCCCCCCTCCCCCAATCCTTTCCACTTGAGTGTTTTCATACCTGTTGCCATGGCCACTGGGTGCTGATTAGACAAGCCATCCAACACACCCCCTTGCCTGCCGGCCTCTCTCTGGCCTCTGTTAAATCTCCCGGACAGAAGTGAAACACACGCCCGTTCTGGGCTTGCAGTAGCCCATGGAAGAAAAGCGGGGGCGAGCCGTGGGAGAACAGTAGCAAGAGGACTCCCGTGGCGGGCTGAATAACAGCCCCCAAAGACGGCCACAGCCCGATCCCCGCAAGCTGTGAGTGTCACGTTACATGGCGTAAGGGCCCGTGAGGATGTGATTAGGTCAAGGATCAGGAGAGGCAGAGATTACCCTGGATGAGCCGGGTGGGCCCCACACGTGTCACAAGTGTTCTCATAAGAGCCAGGCAGAGACGTCCGACCCCAGAGGTGGTAGGAGGTGTTATAGTGGAAGGATCCAAGGAAGGGGTCAAAGGGAATGGATTCTCCCCCAGAGCTTCCAGGAGGCAGCCCTGTGGATGCCTTGGCTTTAGCCCAGTGGAAGCCAGTCTCCAGAGCTATAACAGAATACATTTGTGTCGTCTGAAGCCACTAAGTCTGTGGTCATTTCTCACAGCAGCAATGAGAAAGTGATCGTGTCAATACCGTGTCTGCGCTTCCCCCATTGATTTTCAAAGTGAGTATGATAGCAGGGGTGCAGGAGACAGTGGAACGGGGCTGGTCCAACGCGGTGGGGTCCGGAACGTGGCTTATGGAGGCCTCACCAACCCCCTGCAGGCTCGGTGGGAAAAGTGCAGGTCTCTGAGAGCAACTGAGGCAAGAAGCAGCCCAGGCTCTGAAGTGGGCTGTTAAATGACACCATTTGCTGACTGTAACTTGGGCAGGTGGCTTAATCTCTGAAAGCCTCAGTTTCGTCATTGCAAAACAGAGATAATTTTATTATCTACCTTGTAAAGCTCTTGGGATTAAATGAGATAATACATGAAAAGCAGCTAGCACATGACATATGCCAAATAAATGATAACCCTCAGGAAAGATTAGGCATGCATATATGAGAATACGCTGTTAGTAGCCCACCCCAATATCTATTTTACTCTTTCCACTTAGTAAGAGAATTCTAATTTGGAGCTGGCACATTGCAACCCAGAGTAAAATAAAGACTACATTTCCCAGACTCCCTTGCAGTTGGATATGGCCACGTGACTAAGATCTGGCCAATGAGATGTAAGTAAGGCTGTTCAAAAGGTACTGGAAGGGGCCCCACTTTTACCTGTCTGCCTTTACTACCTTCTGCTTTCAATGAGGACATGATGGCTGGTGCTCCAGCAGCCATGTTGGACTTTGAGGGACACTGAAAATGGGAGTCATGCAGTCAGTAAGACAGTCTAACAAGGAGATGGGAGCTTGGATCCCTGATAACTTCAGAGCTGCCACACCAGCCTTGAATGGCCTTCCTCTGGATTTCTGTTATGTGAGGGAGAAATGCTTTTCTGTCTTAGTGAAGTCATTGCTATCTTGGCGTTTCCTGGTAATCATAATGGATACAATGTATCGCAGATCTAGGCAAGTAGGACTCAGAGTCATTCCAGCACAACGGTTCTCAAAGTCACGGGACTAACAGCTTTAGCAACACCTGGGAACTTGTTAGGAATGCAAATTCTTGGGCTCCACCCCAGACTTACTGAATCCAAGCCTCTGAGGGCAGAGCCCAGTGATTCTGGTGCACACTCAGGTGTGAGAACCACTCATCTAGAGCAAGATTTCTCAACTGGCCACATTTGGGGCCAGATAATTCTCGGCTGTGGGGGCTGTCTCATGCATTGCAGGATGTTCAGTGTCATCCCCGGCCTCTACCCACTGGAGGCCAGAGCACCACCACCCCTGTCCAAGTTGTGACCATCAGAAATGTCTCAGAAATTGTCACCTGTCCCCCAGGGTGGGGGGAGGAGCAGCAAAATGGCCCGTAGTTGAGAAACACTGCCTCAGAGAAGCGGTGCTTTCTTGACCTTGGCTGAACATGAGAATCACTTGGGAAGCTTTTCTAAATTCCAGTGCCCCAGACTAGCTAAATCTGGATCTACGAGGGCAGGCAGAGGCAGCGGTGAAAGCTCCCAGGTGAGTCCCGCATGCAGCCAAAGGGGACCGCTACAGGGGACGAGTGGGCCCAGAAGAGAAACTGTTTACTTTGAGCTGGATGGAGGTGCTGAATCCTGATTAAGGGGAGGACACGAGAGGGTCCTGAGCAGAAACTGTAAGTAAACTTGGAACCAGCGTCGTACCTGCCAGATGGGTGACTGGCTGGGGTGGAATTCCTGGCAGCTGTGTCACCACACTTCCCATAAGAACAGGGTGGACACCATTCAGTCTCTCACATGAATAACCACACAAAGCCTCAGTTTCCTCCCCTAATAAACACAGCATACAATCAGCCAGTTCCCACAGGGTGCAATAAACGTTAGCTCACCCATCAAAAAGAACTGTCTCGGCTGGGCGTGGTAGCTTGCACCTGTAATCCTAGCACTTTGGGAGGCTGAGGCAGGGAGGATCACTTGGGGCCAGGAGTTCAAGATCAGCCTAGGCAACATAGGGAGACCCCATCCCTACAAAAAATAATAATATAAAAAAAAATTAGCTGGGCATGGTGATGTGTACCTATAGTCCCAGCTGCTCAGGAGGCTGAGGTGGGAGGATCACTTGAGCCCAGGAGATTGTAGCTGTCATGAACTATGATCTGCTCATTGCACTCCAGCCTAGGTGACAAAGCAAGACCCTGTCTCTTAAAAAAAAAATGAAGAAAGAAAGAAAAGAAATGGAAGAAAAGGAAGAAGGAGGAGAAGAAGACCCGTCTCAATAAAGGCAACAACATGGCAATGGGACCTATTCGGAGATGAGGAGTATAAATTCTCTTCCCAATTGGTAAACCCTGTGGGTACTGAAATCACGATCCTCCCACAAGGATACTCTCAGAAACAAGTAGAGATTTCATGTATATTTAATGTAGCCCTGAAAATAAGCTTGGCAATGAGTCCATAACTGAGGTGGAATGGAGAGGAAGGAAGACTTAAATGAGAAACCAGCAACGAAGAATGAGGGAGGGATGAACATCCTGATGCTCCGACTCCTTCAAAAGAAACGTGAAGTCCTGCGTAAGTTCTTTCTCCTGCAGGGATGGACTTTTTCCTTCACGATTTAATTCCCA